TAACATTCATAGTAGAATTTTCACTTTGAATACGTTACAAATATAAGAGTCAGAATGGATTGGAGAAAAAGGGTTATTTTTTTTCCAGCATTCAATGTACATAATGGCCCCCTATATGTCCATATAGCTTACAACTGCAGTAACACTTCCTACGACTCTCCACAATGACAAGTACTGAGAAGTATATATCCTGATAACCTGGAAGACTATTATAAGTCTGTGATAATTAGCAGCCCTTGAGAGCCCCATCCTCCATTAATTTGTCTGGTTCCTTTTTAAAGCAATTCACCTTTGGTTTCTTTGAAGGTGTAGGGACACACGTTCTACTTGTCCAACTGAAAGATTCAAAGATACACTACACGTTCTACTTGTCCAACTGAAAGATTCAAAGATATACTCCCAAGCTTCTCTGGAAAAGACAATAATGCTAGGCAAAGTTAAAAGTCACAGGAAAAGAGGAAGACCAAACAAGAATTGGCTTGAGTTCATAAAGGAACCACAGCCTTGAGTTTACAAGAGCTAAGCAGGGCTGTTGAGGACAGGCCATTTTGGAGATCAGTCATCCATAGGGCCACCACAGGTTGGAGGCAACTTGACAACACGTAACAGCAAGCCTGAAATATCTTCTAGGAGACAGATCTTGGCTCTCCAGATTTTTCGTATTAAGTTTTCATGATTTTCTCCCCCCCCCCTCAAAGCAATGGCCAAACTGACTGGGATTTCTGGGAGCTGAAGTCAAAAACGTCTAGAGGGTCAAAAGGTTTCCCAATTCTATGCTGGGAGGAGGGTTTGCAGGAAGAACTTTATATCTACTTATCTCCTTTTGAATAAAGGAAGTACACTATCCATTCATGTATATGCATCAATAGACTACCTAGATTAAAATGCTGGGTACCTACGTCAATTTGTAGACTAGGTGGCATACTTCATAAAATCCTTCATTTTGTTTAATTTTTTTTATCCTTTCATCCCATACCCCATTCTGCATCTCACATTAGCCCAAATTCAATTCAATTCTTTACCAAGGGTAAAGAAACAACAAACTAATGCTACTTTAAAGATGCAGCTACTAGCTATTTTGCTTTTCATTATGGGCAGGGAGGGGAAGACCTATCAAATGTATTACTTTTGGGCAATGTAAACTGCACACACAGAGGATCCAAGATGGATTGGGACTACAGCAGAGGGCAATGGCTCAAAGGCCCCTCCCCTCATGCTAGGGGGTTGATTCGGATTGGGACCCTTATACTTGGGGAAAAATTGTGGCTGTCTTTTGACTCGTAATAAAGGTTTATCTATCTTATCTACTTGGGAAAAGGGAAGAGACTCTTTAAAGGAACAGGCAGCTTGGTATCCAGTTTACACGCCTTCCTCCAATCCAATTTACATGCCTGCAGAGTGCAAAAAACAAAACAAAACAAAAAACAGCAATTCTCCTTTGATTCAATCCTGACCTGGTCCATTAAGCTGAACTTTTGCTGCGCTGTGTGCGAATTAAAGGAACTTGTCGCATTCATCATGTTGCCCAGCTAGCACAACACAGTGAGAATGAATGTGCATGAAGAAGGGACACTTAGGTGCATCTCTTCCCCTTTACCTTTTTTACTAGCATACTGTTCGTTGTAATGCTTGCCTTCTGTCACTAGGTGCCACTATAGTGCATTGGCTCCAACCACAGGTTCTTAGGAAAACAACACTACAGTCAACTGAGTTTGTTCACCAGACAAAATGAAACTCAAAATTGCTGCTGGTGGGAACAGAAACAATGCGGTTGTGGTAGAACGTGAATACCAATAATAATCAAATCACAAAGGAAAAAATATTAAACTCCAACTGCTGACTTCAAGCCCTCACAGTATCAGAATACAAGATTGGTCTTTCCACTACATTTATAAAAAGGAAAACTACAACCATGAAATCAACTCCTTAAAAATAATGTTTGCATGGATGTATAGAACAACTTGAACTTCTCCTTAACATTTTCAAGATTTCAGATATGTTTCTCCCAGTTACCCAAACTACTGGGCCATTTTTTTTAGGACCATAAACCTGTGCATATCTGTCTTATCTGTGCATATCTGTCATATTGTAAGCACAATGTAACATAATGGTGTTTATATTTTAAGAAAGTTCCACAAACATTTAAAAGCACCTAATCAGGTACCAAGTTGCTAGTCCTGAATTTCTAGTTTGCATTCATGAAGATGATTGGTATAAATGTGGAATGGATTAATCAGATATCCTGAAATCTAAAGGGGGCAGGGAAGACTTGTAAGCACAAAAGACTCATGGAAAACAAAAAACTTTGAATGCATTTCATTGTGTGCAAGATTTGGAACAAAGTAAAACCATGTAGTTTCCCAGTGCTCAATAGCTTCAATTTCTCCTGAGGTATTAAAATTTGACATAAAACATCCAATACTTCAACAAGAAACAAGAGCATGAGAAAAGTAGATTGACCTTCACAACACCCCCAACAGCAGTTGTTTCTGCAATAGAATTTTAATCTTGCATCCTCTAGGAAGTTAGGGCCTTTGTAAGTTATAGTTAAACAACAGCTGGAGACATGGGGTGTGGGAGACCAACAATTACAGCTATTCACTGCCTAGCTTGAAAACTTCACACATGTCTTTCCAAAACACAGAGCTGTAACTCCTATCATCCCCAGGTGGCCTCATCTGGAGGGCACCAGATTGGGAGTGCCAAATCTAGCATGATTTCAGTTCCAGGGCAAGTTCTATCAATTCTTAAAGATGAGAAACCAACCATCCCTTCAGATGGTTAAGAAAGCAGATCAAATGCTTAGTAGAAGAGCCAACTTTACCCTTTCAGTTCAACTGCTATAGTCCTGAACGAGTCAGGAAATAAAAATGACAACCTCAATCTCCCCCCCCCTCCACAACCCCCATTATTGATATATCTAACAGCAATACTTGCTTTGATTTATGATGGCTTTAGATGAAGCCACTGTGTTTCTTTAGGGCCACCTCCTTTGGTTACCTTCAACTGTTCAGTCTGGACAGATGGGATGTAAATTACTCTATTGTATTATTTCTAAATCCTGTTGATTTGATTTCCTTCGTGTTGAGATCAGGAATATGTAGACAAAATGGTGAGGCTTCTGTGCTTATTATTGTTAATAGGTGCTCTTACAGTTTCCTTCAAAGACCCCAAAGATAAAGGACTCTGCAACTCCTTTGAGTGAGGGGTGCTTCCAGGGTTACTATAAAAGGTGTTTCTGGATGAAACTGCTGTAATGCAGTTGCCTATAAGAAAAGAAAATTAGAGGGGGTTCCAGCTGTCACTATCTTCTGCTTGCAACCCTCCTCTGGTTCCCCATTGCTTCTTTCACTTTCCCACCCCGTGAAAGAAAATCTGTTAAAGGGGCAAGAAGGAACAGCTGCACTGTGTCTTTTGATTGGTGGCACTAGGAAACATTTGTCCAGAAGCAGCCAGACGTTTTCCATTTTAGCATTCCTCTGGCTTAGCGTTCACCTCATGAACTTGAGAAAACACACATAAGATGAGGCAAAGCCTTATTCAGAAGTTCACTTCTCTCTTACACTATTAGAAATTTGTCAGAGGGAGAGTGGGGATGATCTGTCACATATTCCTTAATGTCCTGTCACTGCCCAGGCCATGGTGTAACAGAAGAGGTCTATAAAAGGAAGAGTTCTCTACTTGTGTACACACCTTAGAGAATTTAGAATCCTGGCCTTCCACGTTCTTCTAAATGAGAGAAGGGCAATGTGGGGATCTTCAGTTGCTGTTGGACTACAAATCACATCATCTCATCAATGGCCAATGAAAATGCTCCCCAGCCATTTTCCAGACATGCAGAAAAAGCAATAAAAGAAACAATGGAATCTCGCAGCCCCTAATGCATGATGAGTGGCAAAGACAGGTGACAAGAATGCAAAGCATGAGGCCACCGGTCTTGTTCCAATGACAGAAAGCAACTTCTGAACAGTGCTTAAACTGGGCAGGTTCCGTTACTACAAACCCCTTCTGCTTTTCCCTTTTTCCCAGTCTTTTAGGTAGCTTTATATCCTTTCTTACTACAAACCCCTTCTGCTTTTCCCTTTGGTAGCTTTGCCCAGTCTTTTAGGTAGCTTTATATCCCTTTCCTTGCCTTCTTAGGGGGAAAAAAGTTAAGCATAGTTCCTAGCTTTTCTCTGTGTGCCAAGCTTATTTATTATCCCTTTGCAACTTCAATTATTCTCCAAATTTGATGCAATAACCTTTGAATACAGAGTTGGGTGGCTGGATTGTTCTAGGAGTTATAGCTTTTTTTTTTTAAAGCAACTTCCCCAAGCTGTGCTTAAACATGACCACATTTGCTTGTAGAGTTCCAGTCAGTCCAGGGAGTGTGTATAGTCAATGCAACCATGTTAATATTTTCTAAAAGCAACTGACACCTTGCCACGATCTGTTATGAACACCTAAGCAAAACACACTTACCATTCACAGAGCCCCCCAAAAAACTTTCACTTCCATCCGCGTTGTTTTTTGTTTGTTTGTGTTTTGGGGGGAGAGGTGGGGAGGACACCTGGTGTTTCTTGCTGATATGTCATATTGTTATTCTGATATGTCATTGTTAACGATGGTCTTTGATTTCTTTTCTCTTATTGCATACAATCCACTATTCTAATTTATCTAGCTTAATTAGAGCTTTTGACTCAATTAGGATCTATGCTGTCTCCAAAACTGCAGGTTAAAACTGGTCCCTTGATCAAGATGCCAGAAACATTGCTAAATCTTTCCAGCAGAACAGATTCATGTGAAATTTTACTCTTATTTCCTTGATGCTTACTGTTTCCGGGATACAAGCTTGCCCATCAGTCACCAATGTACTCTTTCACCTTTTGACCTACATCCATTTATTACACAGGGAACCAAGGATTTCCTGAAGAGCACACTACACTCACAACATTCTGCTCTTCCTCTTCAGTGTTCAGATCTTGACAAAAATGGAAATGACCACACTATTTGCTTAGATATGTGTTAAACGTGATCTATTTAGAACATAGCTTGCCTTCCCTCACCCCTCATTCTGCATGAATCCCCACTCCCCCATGATTAATATCCTATAAAAGTCTTCCTGGCCAACCGCCTATGTCTGCAAATACTGTGGGACATTGAGTTTTCAAAGTCACAGTGAAACCCAGTTGGAAAAATCTGGGTATAAGGCTTAACTGGAAACCTCTACAAGTTGGAATGATCTTGCAGCAGGCAGGTTGACGGAAAGTGTCTGGCGTTGAAGAGAAATGGAATGGAGGGACATGCCGTCGGAAAGAAAGTGATGCACAATCAAGAAGAGGTTATCCGTACACCATGTGCAATCACCACAGAAGTAATCCAAAAGCACAGCTCTGAAAGAATTCATTGTTTTGGGAAGGAGGTGGCTGCGAGTAGCCCAGACCATCGTACGTCACTTCTCCTTGTGCTTAAAGTCAGTGTTGTCAAATCCTTGTCTTGAAGAGTATTACAAAGTGCCAGAAAGCAAAACTGTCCACCTTGTTTTTCAAAAATGTCAAGGTTCTAGTCCTGAGGAAGGTGTGAATCCAGGACATCTCCGGCAAAGCTGCTAACTCAAGCATTCCTTTAAAGAGCACAGCTAAGACGTACTGAAATTGCTTCCTGTTTGCACAACATGCCAGGTATTCCTTTAAATGTTTTCGAACACCAGAACTACTTTTTTTTCCTTTTTTAGAAACGTGCCATACTTTAAAAAATGGTGTATTTGAAAACCTTCTACCTTTCTTGTTAAAACTCACAGACTTGATTAGAAAGAGAATAGGCTGGGTGAAGAGTAAGAGATTTCTGTTTTGCTTTGATTTTTTTTTAAAAAACGACAGCATCGAGAGAGAAAGAGATAGCGAGGCACTCGAGGTTCGGATTTTATGCATAGAACTCCTCCTGTTTGTCGGGTTTTTGGTATGTGACACTGGCCTGCTTGGGTTCCTCCAACGTATAGCTTCCCTCATCTTTCTTTTTCATCCGATAGATCAACAGCATGACCAAGAAGGCGGCGAACAAGGCCCCAACGACTCCGCCTACAATCACAGCTGCAAATAAAGAGTGAAGAGGGAGAGTGAGCAGGATATTGGAGGCTGTGCCACGTCCAGACCCTAAGACGCAGCCCTAGTCAAAGGACAAGAGAGCACCTCCCTCTTTCCCACCTATAGCAGCCGACCAGGCTGGCACAACCTTGCTTTAAAACTGGCACTGGGGCACCGTCTTCCTCTGGCATTGCCCCATGTAGAATTCTGGGGCCTTAACCTTTCCCCACTCACCCCCCTCAGGTGTTTGATATATCTCTTAGGTAAAGGTTCCTCTTGACAATTTGTCCAGTCGTGTCCGACTCTAGGGGGCGGTGCTCATCCCTATTTCCAAGCCGTAGAGCCAGCGTTTGTCTGAAGACAATCTTCTGTGGTCACGTGGCCAGCGTGACTAGACACGGAACGCCGTTACCTCCCCACCCTATTTATCTACTCGCAATTGCATGCTTTCGAACTGCTAGATTGGCGGGAGCTGGGACAAAGCGACGGGAGCTCACTTTGTGCGTGGATTCGATCTTACGACTGCTTGGTCTTCTGACCTTGCAGCATCGCCAGTTAAGGTATTTAACTGGTGTACAAATGAGGAAAAAATCCCCCTATTTCTGACTTCCCAGGAAGAAAAACTGGCTGAGTAGGGCTAACCTCTGTGGCACTGGAAGGAATCGGGAGGGGTCCAGTATTCTCCTTGACTCCCGTGTTCTGCAGAGGGTGCTTCTTAGGAAGCTACGATGCCTTTAATGCTTTGCAGTGCCACCCAGCACAGGCCTGCCTAGCCAGTGCCTCTGCGTTGAGACTCAGAATGTGTGTGTGTGTGTTTTCCATTTATGTATAATTGTTGTATCCGTTATATCAAACACCCGAGGAGGCTTTGGGGAGGGGTTAAAGCCCCAGAACCCTAGCTGGGGCAATTCCAGCAGACCTCTGGGTACTGTAGTTAAAAGGGGGGAATCACAAAAATCCCATCCCTGGTAGCCAATGGTTTAGGACCTGTGGCAATGTGGCAGACACGGGCCTCTCCTCCAAGAAAAGAGGAGAACCAGGAACCGGGGTAGTCGCCACTGCTCCCCAACCCAGCCTCCTCATCTGCTGCCTGAGAAGGCTTCCTAAGTCGAACTAACAGTAGGTTGGCCTCGTCTGGTGTTTGAATGGATGGACTGCAACACTGATGGTAGCCAATGGTTTAGGACCTGTGGCAATGTGGCAGACACGGGCCTCTCCTCCAAGAAAAGAGGAGAACCAGGAACCGGGGTAGTCGCCACTGCTCCCCAACCCAGCCTCCTCATCTGCTGCCTGAGAAGGCTTCCTAAGTCGAACTAACAGTAGGTTGGCCTCGTCTGGTGTTTGAATGGATGGACTGCAACACTGAAAGGGGACTTAAGTCGAACTAACAGTAGGTTGGCCTCGTATGGTGTTTGAATGGATGGACTGCAAGGGGACTTTGCTCAGTGGAGACATGGAAAGAGTATGGGATGGCTGGGTCTCAGGAAATCCGTAAGGTGTCATATACCCATGGTTCTCATATGGGTGCCACTGGTATAACGCAGATATCTGAGGTGCCACAAGGGTTGCTGTGACAATTACTAAGTGTCTATTCTGCAACAGTCACCATGTCTTCCTAGAAATGCCCTGCACGCCAGAGATTACATGTCTCTACGTAGAGGAAAGTCAGTGTTTCTTCTAATCTTCCATCCCCGCTGGCAGCCAATTTACCCTAAATTGTAAACATAGGGAGAAAATTCAGGTAAAGACATAAGGGTCCTTTTTAAAAGAAGTGGGCTTTTTTTGTTTTTGATTGCAGTGGGGATCAGGTTGTGTGACAGAACAATTAGTAGAGCAGAAGTCTGAAAACCACTGTTTTATACCATATCAGACTATCGAAGTTACTTGCCATGTTTGTCTGCCCTGACAGGTTAACAAACAGAACTGTTAGGGATGTGCCTTTCAGAAAAACAGAGGTGGAGCAGGCATTTGTTTGGTTTACATTGCTAAGCAAACCAAGATACTTCATGAAATAATGTGAGCCAGAACACAATTATTCTTTTGTTTTTCACACTTTTCCAAATTTTGCGACATAGTTCTCTAATCAAAAATGTGTTAAAAATAGGCAATATTGCAGAGGAAAGAAAATCGTACGTTAGGGAAATTAGATTGACCAAATGCATACATATAGGGAAATTATATTTCAAATAAAGCATATGAATTTTCACACCCATACACACACATTCCAATGAATTTCTAAACGAACAGAGAAACAAGGTGGGAACAAATCTCTGTGTGAGCAACTGTGAATGTTATATAATGTTACAAATCGTTTCATCTGTACAATAAGGTACGTAGAAGGGATGCTCTCGATAGTGGGCCCCTAGAAGCTCTCTCCATACCCACTCGAATGGTATTTTGGTGCTGCCAGAGAAAGACTATTTTATTTTCTCAAGCATTTTCTCTCCGTGTTATTATTTCCGGAGACAGAGTAAAACTGTCAACGATTTTGACAATATTTCCATTTTTATTGTATTTTTATTGCATTCCTTTTTTTAATATTTGCTTATGCGCTTACTAATTTTGCGGTGTTGCTTGCCATCTCCCTGTGCCTTGGATTTTCAAGGAAGGCTCTCCTTTACAGGGACTCCACGAAGAGAGGCACATTGCGCACTCCCCACGGTAGGCAGTTTTCTCTGCAGTGCTGTTTCTCCGTAGATAAATCATGGGAAGGTTTGGGAACCAGTTCCCTTCCCAGGACACTCAGCGGGGGCTGCACCAGGCCCCAAAGTTTAGTTTTGTGTTGTTTTGTCTTTTTTATGTGGCACAAATCCGATCCGGCAAAGGCCCTGTGTTCAGCCATGTGCATCCATCTAATTATCCATCTATAGATAATACGTGTGTCTGTACGTTTGTTTGTCTCTCTCTCTCTGTGTGTGTGTGTATGTGTCTATTCTATGCATGTTTCTATACCTTAATTCTTAACAATTTATTTTATTAGTATGCTGATTTGTGTCGTTCATTTAATAATTACATGCGACTCATTTATTTATTTATTTATTTGATTTTTTTTCACCCCATGGCTTGGAGAAGTTACTTTTTTTGGACCAGGACCTCCAGAGCACCCTTGGGCCAAGTTGATCCGGGTACTCTGGGAGTTATAGTCCAAACAAACAAAAAAAATCTTTTCAAATCTCATTTATTCTTATTGTAAAGCCACCCTGGGAACACTTCCCTGAGGGACAAACTAGAGGAACCCAAAAGTAAACTACAACAACTAAATCCCTAAAACAAACAGTAACTACATTCTAGCATGTGAAAGAACTAATTACTCACCTGTAACTTCACTTCTTTGGGTGGACCTCTATGTATTCACACGACGGGTTTTCTGCAATTATGCAGATGATCCTTTGGAATGTTCCAGAGCCTTAACCTCAAGTTCCCTTCCTCTGCACCTTAATTCCTGCTGTGTCCACCACAAAGAAACAGAGAAAGATTGGCGAGACGGCACCAGGGAGGAGTGAGGGGATGTGTGAATACATACGAGGTCCACTCAAAGAACTGAAGTTACAGGTGAGTAACCTGTTCTTCTTTTTTGTGGCCTCTACACATTCGCACAACAGGTGACTTAGCAAGCTTTGTGTCAGTGGAAGGAGTCGTGCCAGTACAGCAGACAGGACAGGTCTGCCAAAAGAGGCATTGTTTTGTGTTCATAAATCCAATCTCCAAGCAAGTGTGATAGCACCAGCAACCCAGTGAGAAAAACACTGAGAGGAGACCGTGTGACTTTTGGCCGGGCCTTGGTAACACATAAACAGCCTTGATGTCAGTCTGAAATCCTTGGTAAGGGAAAGGCAAAATGCCAATGTTCTTCTGACATCTAAGGTTATATATGTTAGGCATCCTTCAGTCTTGAGAGACCATGGTAACGTGCTCTGTATGAGTGTCTTCTCCAGAGCACGAAACCTGGGTAAAATAATATGGAGAATAGGCTGTTACTCAAGCAGCAAATTCCCCCCCTCCATGCTGCTGAAATAGTCAAATGGAAAAGCAAGAGCCAATACAATTGGTTCCACCGACGTCGCAGGTCTAGGCTTTGACCTCCTGTTTTCATGGAAACGTTGACTCAGGTTAAATAAAGACCAAATGGTCCATTGTCAACATTTGATCGTTCAAATGGTTAGTATAGTGACTATCATTTTCCATATCATAATGGAGAGTTGCCAGGTAGGTGGGGCTCATCAGCCTTGGAAGGCAGCCCATGTAGGAGAAGGAAAACTCCGATTTCAAACCTCCACTGCCTTGTGGCTATATCCACTGATGGAAAAGGCTTCAGGACATCTAAGGTGTGTCATTTTTCCAGGTTTGACATTGGAGAAGGATAGACGGTAGAGAGGACCAGCAGCTGAGATATGTGGAAGGGGGAGACAACCTTGGGCAGGAAAGAAGAGTCAGTGTACAGTGGTGCCTCGCTTGACGTTAGGTTTTTTTTTTTCCAGGTTTGACATTGGAGAAGGATAGAAGGTATGAGACATGTGGAAGGGGGAGACAACCTTAGGCAGGAAAGAAGTGTATAAGGTAACCTTTTCCTTATGAAATTGCACATATGGAGGGCCATACCGGAAAGCTGTCAGCTCACTTGCCTCAGGAACAGACATAATGACCAGCAGGAAGGCCATATTGAGTGTGAGGATTCCAGGTTTGACATTGGAGAAGGATAGAAGGTATGAGACATGTGGAAGGGGGAGACAACCTTAGGCAGGAAAGAAGTGTATAAGGTAACCTTTTCCTTATGAAATTGCACATATGGAGGGCCATACCGGAAAGCTGTCAGCTCACTTGCCTCAGGAACAGACATAATGACCAGCAGGAAGGCCATATTGAGTGTGAGGAGTCTCCTGTTAGTAGTTGCCAAAGGTTCATATGGAGGCAATGTAAGCCGAGCAAGAACCAAAGAAAGAGACCAAGGAGGCTGCAGATGTTTGACATCCAGAAAAGCATTCCTCCATCTCTTCAGGAACTTTTTCAAAGTCGGGTCTGTGAAGAACAGTGAGGAGGGATGGCCTTGTGGCTGGTGAGCGACTATCGCAGCCAAACACGTCACAAAGCGATAATCGGTTCCTGAAGCAGGGAACCGATCATTGCACAGCCAAAAAACAACAAAAAACCCACCAAAAACCATTTAAAACATCATTTTGCAATCGCAAAAGTGATCGCAAAAACGTCAACGTAAAGCAGATTTGTTGTAGAGCGGGGTAATCGTCCAGAGGGGCACGACTGTATAAGGTAACCTTTTCCTTATGAAATTGCACATATGGCCATACCGGAAAACTGTCAGCTCACTTGCCTCCTGAGCAGACATAATGACCAGTAGGAAGGCCATATTGAGTGCGAGGAGTCTCCAGTTAGTAGTTGCCAAAGGTTCATATGGAGGCAATGTAAGCCGAGCAAGAACCAAAGAAAGAGACCAAGGAGGCTGCAGATGTTTGACATCCAGAAAAGCATTCCTCCATCTCTTCAGGAACTTTTTCAAAGTCGGGTCTGTGAAGAACAGTGAGGAGGGATGGCCTTGTGGCTGGTGAGCGACTATCGCAGCCAAACAGACCTTTAGGGTTTAAAGTGAGAGTCCAGATTGTTTAACATGCAACAGAAATTTCAGAACGGTACACAAAGATGTGGAAGTGGCTGAGGAGGATGCAAATGTGAGGAACTTTTCCACTTGTAAGTGTAAAGCCTGCTAGTGGATGGTTTCCTAGCTTGGACCAAAGTGTCCTTTATTGAGGGAAGTCTGTCAGCCTGGGACGCTGGGTGTCTGGGTGCTGAACCAAGTGATTTTGGCAAATAAGAAGGTTGCGGCAGAGAGGAAGACGCCACCTGTTACTGGACAGTAGGAGCAAGGTTGTGAACCATGGCTATCTCGGCCACCATGGAGTCACTAGAATGACTTCGGAGCTGTCTGGTTGGATTTTGATTGTGGTGTGCTGGATCAGTGGAAACGGTAGGAACCTGTACAGAAGGCATCCAGGGGGTAGCAAAGGCGTCTCCCATGGAGTGCCTCCTTATGCCAGCTCAAGAGCAATAAAGGCAGCTTTTCTTGTTGACAGTAGAGGCAAAGACATCTATATGAGGCTGTTTCAGGATGTGAGAGCAGTGAAAATACTCTGAGGCAGTTCCCACCAACGAAAGCATTTATACAACCAACATTAATGGAAAAGAAGAAACTATATCTTGAGATATACATATTTGTTAAAAGAGGACTTAAGTATGAAATCAAGGGAAGAACTTGAAGAACAAGGTACAATATTTGATTGGCAGACAAAAACAAAAATAGGTAAGTGGAAACTTGGGATCCGGAGGGTGTTGGGCAATCAGATGGAGTGCGTTCTGTTTATATTTGTGGGACTGATGTCCAGGATAGGGATGACACTGGGATCCAGTGCAGAGGAGCAGCAATCATGACACTGATCTTGAGTAGGCTGTGGTAGCAGAGGCATGTGGTACTGCAGGCTGATGATATCAAGGCTGTGGAGATGGACTGGAATAATCTCGCTATCAAGCAGAAAGTGCAGGTGAATGATATCACGTATATCTGTAAAGGGATGAATGTTGGTCCATGTTCCTATAGAAACAGTCAGGAGGACCAAAGTATGAAGCAAGACATATTCCATCCTATGTCTGAGGTTCAGTGATGGAGAAGGATACCAGGACTGATATCAAGGGAAGCATGAGTTAGAACAGGAAGATCTCAAAACTGATGGTCTGAGGCTACGATAGCTTGGTTCCGGAAAACAATAGTGGTCTCGATGGGGAGAAACCAAGAGCCCATGCTAGAAGGGGGGGTATGTCCTCCATTTGTGAGGCATGGATGGAAACAGTGTCAATTTCACACTGGGTTGGGAGCTCTGTCAGGTTGTGGTAGACTTCAAGAGGAGATCAAGGGGACAAACTCAATTGTGGTAGACTTCAAGAGGAGATCAAGGGGGCAAACGATCGAGGTCCCTGCATATCCCTCACAGCCTCAGAGGGTTGGGAGGAGTGCCTATCTCAATGTGATAGACTTGGAGTCAGCAGCCTAGGAGACAGTAACGACATGCTGTAGATCTACGAGCTAGGCAGTTCTCCCACCAACGTAGATGGGGTCAGCCGGTCAGTCAAGTACCTCTGCAGAATGGAGTGAGGGAGCGAGCAAGTACTTCCGCCACTTTGGAAGGGTGAGGTAAGAGGCTTGTCACAATCAGCCTCAGGGAGTTTCCACTGTTTTTTAGTTGTTAAATCAATCCTTGGTTTCAAGGCTTCTGATTTTGAGGAAGCATTGGATGTTGAAGGCACGACATTCGCTTCAGATGGAGGAGGAAACTGTTTTTCCAACACTGCCACAGGAGTTTTTTTGTGGAACTTCAGAGAATGAGGCAGAACAGTTCAAGGATCACTCCCAAAGGTGGGATCGTAGCCTGGGCTGCCTGCTTTTTAAGGGTCAGTTTATTAAAGCCTCTGTAAACTGAGTAGGAATGGACAAGATGCCCTTTGCCCAAATAAAATAAACACTGCCTATGGCATCTGACTGAGCCAGACCAGAGTCCCTTCAAGGCTGAAGAGGCCAGAAAAGTGAAAACAACCCTGAAGGAAAGAGAAAAGGGGGAAATGGGGGTCAAAGGGGGAAAGGAAATGAAAGTAGGACTCCAAAAATAAAGTTTTCCCTTCCTCCATTTCCCAATCTTAAGCAACTACAAAGAAACAAAGGGGAACACAAAGAAATAAAAAGAAAGAAGAGTAAAGAAGCTCTGGAACAAGCCGAGGATGTCTTTCTCTTGCCGTGGGAAGAAAGGGACTGAGGTGCACAGGCGGGGCCTGCGATTATATACTCTGGGAGGCTAAGGCTCCGGAACATTCCAAAGGATCGTCTGCACAGGCGCAGAACACCCATTGAGTGAATACATAGAGGACACAAACAATGAACTGAAATCATTGGATGCTCTTTCTGTTGCTTATATGCCATTACCCTTTGGCTACCTTTCCTCTGCTGCTTACCCTGCCTAAAATGTACTGCCTAAGTTTTTAGGCAGGAAGCTCTTCAGGGCAGAGACCTTGACCTTTTATGATCTGAGAAGCATGCAGCACGCCCAAAAGCCCATGGCGATCCACGTGGCCCCTGCCTTACCTATGAGCACCTCTTTTCTTTCCAGTATGTTCTTCTGGGGTAGCTGGGCAGCGGAATTGCTGGACTCTATCGTATTGTCTATGAGGCCCGGCTCAGCGTTCTTCCTCAGCACTGGTCCAGCTGCTGGGGTAACCACGGCAACCACTTCATTACTGAGCTCTGTCCGGGCTGCCACTTCTTCCTCCTCACGGATCTCAAAGTCGCCACTGATAGGGGCTTCCAGTTCATTATTCACTGCTGTGGAAGGGGTCACATCCAGAGGTTTCCCCTGTGGGAGAGAACAAGAAAAATGGAAAAAGTGTGGGGCAAAGGTGGGCTGCCCCAACCCCTCATGGTCCTGCTCCTGCTTCCAAAATAAGGCCAGACTCTGCCTGGAAGGTCAACATTGATGCTTGCTGCCTGTGAATGGACGTATGCAATGATCAGTGGTTCCTTTTCAAACCGGGAGGAAGTAACAAGCAGGGTACCACAACACTCAGTCCTGGGCGCCCAGTGCTCCTCCACATTTTATTAATGGCTTGGATGAGAGGTGCAGGGAATGCATATTAAATTTGCAATGGCACAAAATTACCTGAAATAGCCAATACCATGGAAGACAGAAACAAAATTCAAAATTATCTAGGTGGACTTAAGCACTGAGTTGGAAACGACGGAATGAAATTTAACAGGGAAAAGTGTAAAGTTGTAAACTTAAAAGGAAAAAAACGTAAGTGCATAGTTACAAAATTAGGGATACTTGTCTCAGTAATAATTTGAGTGAGAAGGACCTTGGAATTGTTATAGATCCCAAGCTGAATGTCAGCCAACAATGTGAAGTGAAAAAGAAACTTGATTTTTTTTTTAAAAAAAAGATATCTTGTTTTCTAGAAATCCTTTTACTGTTTTGATCCATTTATTGCCTTTATCTGTGATTGGTTAAAACAATAATGGTTTAATCCTACTGGCAAACCATGTAAACATCCTTGGATGTCTCCACCTTTAAAAATACGATCTCACCTGCAAGAGGGTATTATAAAGCAACTTCACTCCGTATGAATTGCTGCCCTCCCTGCACAACCAGTCTGTCTTCATTGATGTTGTGCGGCAAGAAAATTTAAGCAGCTGTTTTGAGAGCTAAGTAACTTTATTCTGGAGTAGAGATGGGCATGAACCACAGTTTGGTGTTTCAGCCCAGTTTGGCACCATGCCCCACAGGTGTTATGTGACACTGCCCTGTAAGTATAATTGTATTACATTACAAATGTAAGTATCATCCAAAACCAAAGAACTGCTTTTCTTAAACATTAATTCTTCAGTAATATAAAATCACAGAACTGGAAAGGACAGCCCTCTCGAAAAAGCAATATCTCATGTCTTCCTGTTCCATGCTCCCATCCTATAAAAAGTAAATAGACTGGTCTCTAGACATTTTCTCTAAAATACAAGGGGAGTAAAGACTCCACATCTATCCCCATTGTACTTTATTTTCTCCTGCAACTTGTAGAGAAAGATTTGGGGACCCCTCTTCCATCCTGGTTTATCTGGCCACTATTTCTGCCAATTCTGCCATTTCACTTTCTCCTTCCTGTTTTTTCCCACCCACAAGTGACTCCTAAAGGGTCTAGGAAGTGCTCTTCCTTCCTCCCATCCAATTATTGCTACATGTAACATCTCCCTTGTCCTTGCAAAGCTCTCACGCAAACCCTTCGAATCAATAGTGTTGAACAACCCTAGACTTTTGTCCCTGAAAATAACTTCCCTTGTCTCAATAAAATTGGATAGGAGAGCTAGTGAACTCTGCACATTGTGCATTGATCCACTTTACCTTACATAAAGATAACAATGGATTTAGGCAGAACTACCATTTTCTCCCCAAAGTAATATTGTTCTTTCATTTGTTCCAAGATACTGTTCTACTGACATCCTATCCTAATCCACCAACACCTTTGGAGAAGATGCTTCATTCCTGGATGTCCGACAGGCTCTCTCTTTCTATATGTCACAGACTCCTCTTTTCATCATTGAAAGCCCATCTTTATTTGCTACAGAGAGCCTGGGGGGTGGGGGGAGAACTCCCACTGTCACCTCAGAGACCTTCCAAGTGGCTTGGAGCTACCACTGTCCTCTTTTATAAACTTGCAGGCACGCCTTTACAGATCTGGCCACATTCTACCACAGCCGCATCTGCGGCCTTCCTTAGAGGAAGGACCTCTGCCAAGCTGCAACTTGATCACAACCACTTCCATTCATACAGCACTACAGAGATTGAATGCTGGCTGGATAGCTCAGTGGGTTGGGGATCTGGCTACGGAGCCAGAGTTTGGGAGCTTGATTCCCTGCTGTGTCTCCTGGGAGAAGAGTTGGCCTGTGTGGCTTTGGGCAAGCTGAACTGTTCCAGGGCGACCCCAGAAGAAGGGAAGGGCAAACCACTTCTCTGTATTCTCTATGCTCTGACTTGATGGCACACAGTTATCATTACTGATAGGATGTATGGCACAAGAATGATGCAAGTTTTGGCAGAGCTTGTTTTTCATAATTCTCCACTGACTGACAGTCTCCTCCGACAGAAAGCCTGCTCTTCTCCAATAAGGGTAGTTCACAGAGACCATGAAGAAGAAAGACAAGTTCCTTAGATGTAACTGTATTTTTTTCAGGTGGTCCTCACATAACCACTTTCCTTCCTTCTTGGATGTCCATCTGCCTCTTCCCTTACTGGTAGACATGGGACTGAGAGAAACTGGAATGAAGAGCTGGAATAGGCATACTACTGAAGAGGGGTGGGGGCTCTCACCAAAACTCAGCACTCAGCATAGAAGGTTCTGGAACACTGTTGTGCAGGTGCAGTAACCTCATAGGTGATAATAGTAGCCTTAGAACTGCAGAGCTGAGTTTACAGATGACCACTCGAAGAAACACAGTTATAAGGTAAACACCATGTTCTTTTCTATTTCTTGAATATGATCCAAACTAGTGGGGGAAATTACATTGGTCCTGGAGCTCCTATATCTACCTTCCCCCTCACAGGAAAGAAAACCAGGGGAAATACTGTGAGAAGATCACATTTCTTACACTGTCTTGTCTGGATCAGACTTTGCACTTTTGATGGGAACAAATCCACACAGACTGGCTTCTCTTTTGTGGCCCCTCTTACTTCCCTTCTGATTTATGTTCCTGGGCAAATGAGGAGGTACACTCCAGGGGAGATGACATCATCATCATCATCATCGTCGTCGTCGTCGTCGTCGTCGTCGTCGTCGTCGTCATCGTCATCATTATTATTATTA